ATTATACATTTCCAAGTGTGTAAAATTACCAGTCGTGCAGAACATTTCCGAGTTTAAAGCACGTGTGACGAGTTCATCGAAAATAACGAGATGTCGAAATTTAGAATCTATTTTAAGGTCGACATTCGTAAAGTCCCTTTTATCGTATGTTAAATAATTATAACTTCATGAGGCTCCGACTGTTCGTTAACGCATAATACTTATTGACACGACAAAAATGTCGATATTAAAATAAAACGATCTATGAATTTGTAATTAATTAAACGTTGAATGATGTGGGAGTCATTGGCTACTGACATTATGACACTACCGCGTCTCTCTTCAAGTCCCGTATAAATAACGCGTAATCAATTATATTTAAAACAAATCAATTGTACAGAAAGAGAGAATCCCCCAGTAGAGAGTTAGTGAAACGAGATAAAAGATATATGCATTTCGACTTTTGTTTACTTGTCGTATCGTTGATAATTCAATTATTAGATGGGTTTTTGCACAATACACGGAAATCAACGAGGCAGTCAACGTCTTAATTGCGCTCTCGCAATCAAAGATCGCAAATAATGTCCGACTTTGAGCACCAGTCTCAATTTCCCAAGCGCTTAAATTTGTTTCTCTAACAGTGCTCTTGGAAACATAAGTTTCGTTTGTAATCTGCCGACACTTTCCTTCTACTCCCGTTGTTATTGCGCCGAATTTAAATTTAAATCCTTACTGATACTGCACAACTGCTCCTCTTACAATTCCCTTCTTCCTTTCCATCTCTTTTGAACAGCTTAATTCCATAGAAATTTTCAACGTCAATAACATAATGATAATAATGATGACGACATTGATAATAATAATAATGATAATAATAAGATCACGAAGGTAGAAAGTTTGTTACGTTATCTATTTATTAATCTGATTATTATTTAACCATATTAATTATTTCATATTTACTTCTCGTACATTTTATTGTACCTCCAATTGAATAATTAATGTAATTGATACATTGCTCATTAAAATTAAGAATCGGGATTAATTGTAGAGATTAACATTAAGGTAATAAATAATTTCTCAGTTTCTTGTTTTTCACATTTTAACATCGAAAAAACGGAAATGTTAAAAATGGATTTTATAAAAATGTATAACATCAAACAAATAGAACAATAGCTTGTACAGTGTTATATCTCGAAATTTTCCATTGGCTCTCCAAGTTTGACGCATTCGCACAATTGGTATAGAATTAAAACTTCGACCAGACAGAATATCACGGTTATCGCTTAAGTATATAGAGAGGTGTTCAATATGCAATGTAACAATTAAATGTATCAACGTAGAGCCGATTGAATATCATACTTGGCGTAGCAAGCCTTTTAAAATTTCCGACGAAACGTTCAATTCTTTATCTACTTTATACCCCCGTTGAAACGATTTCCGAAGGAAAATCCTTGTCCTTTCGACAACGTAATGCCGGAATTTTTAAAGAGAAAGCCCGGCTTTATGGCTTGTTGGACCAGGGCCAATTTGAAATTGAACGTCTCGGACATCGTGCCATTCTTATTTATTCCCACTCGTTTCGGACCTTCGAGAAGTCCTTCGCGTATCGAGAGATTTCCCACAAACAATCCGTCGACGCATCAAAGTTTTTCCTGAGATGAGAAAAAACCCGATCCCGTATTCGCCGAGGGATCTATTTACATAACGTCGTTTGCGCGTTTGAAGATACTCCGGCTCTCCCCAAGACAGAAGGAGAGAGAGAGAGAGGAAGAAAGAGAGAGAGAGAGAGAGAGAGAGAGAGAGAGAGAGAGAGAGAGAGAGAGAGAGAGAGAGAGGGGTGTCGAGTTATTCGTCCCGCATCGACACGCGAGGCCGCGTCGCTCGGGAATGCGGTCGCCGCCAACAGACGCCGACGTGAAATTCAATCAAAATCAAAGGGATAAAGTGTATCGAAGCGTGAAAACGGACGCGCCCAGGTTCCGGCGGATTTCTTGCGGCCGGAAAATGTTTCGCGGCGCGCGATGGATCGATCGGGCGACCTTATCACGGAGCACGGACGCTCGGCGGGTGGAAGGAGTTGCGGGGAGCCCCGGCTCCCCGGGGACGATTCGGGAGAGTTGCTCCTTACACTCCTTATCGGTTCGCGGCGAGCGACCGCGGCACTTTATCACGTCCGAAGGCGATCACGGCGCCTTCCGCAACCACATGAATCATTATAGTCACGCGGAACCGCGGTTACGGGATGGCGCGCGCGGCGCAGTTATTCCTTGCCTACTACCATCCCCTGTACACCCCTGCGCTCACGATCCCACGAGGATTCTCCCGCAATCTCTCGCGAGGTCTCCGCGTATGGAAGAAAGAGACACAGAGGCAGGCCGAGAGAGAGAGAGAGAGAGAGAGAGAGAGAGAGAGCGTCGGCCAGGCCGGCGAAATATTTAAAGAGGATGATCCGAAGACCGCTTGTCTCACGGTCCATTGGACGGACAGAGAGCTTTGGCGAAAATTCACACGCGTAATCCTCGGAGGGTGAGCCGAAAGTATTAAGGGATCCTAAGGGGGAGGTTGTGCTCGGAGGATACGGAGGCTCCACCGGTGATATACACCGAGGTGTGTATCTGTGTGCGATAATGCCACGTTAATATGGCGTTTTCGAATTTTTGACATTCCACCCTTTCCCGTCGTTTCCTCCCTATTGTCGTGAGAGGGTAAACTAACGGAAGCTTATTCGACATGCGCGCACGCGCGAGGCGATGCCTTTGAAACATCAGCGGCGGAAATTCCGGGCGAGTAGGATTATCGGATGGAATAATATCCACGCACGCGCGCGCGCGCGCGCGCGCGTGCGCTGATAGTCAACGTTGGCCTCGACTCCTCCTCGTCGTTACCGATATGAATAATCCGGGTTCCGCTAATCGCGCAAAATTATCAATATTTTCCACGGCGGACGCACGTGTCCTGCAAGCGACAACGGCGCGGGCGGTGCTTGGTGCGCGCGCGCGCGCGCGCGCGCGAATGACGAGAGAACACACGACGAAGGAAGCGGGCGAAATAATATCCCGAGGAATTACGATGTCCCTCTCGGCTCATTTATGGTGCCGGAGCCCTCGGACTGTACGCGTTAGTCACACACGACAGAGCCCTCTTTAAGGCTGGGCGCGAGCGTTGTTTCTACGTGCCGTGGCGAGTCCCAAAGCTCTCGGTCAAGCTTAATGCGCCTAATGGAACCTCCTGAGTGCCGTTACCAATTTTGCCGCGACTCACGATTTAGCGGCGAGCCAAGCGGGACATTATCAAAATTTATTGGTCGGTCAGCCGTTCGCAAACAGTCGTCGCCGTCGCTCTCGCCGATGTCGGAATGTTTTATGATCTGTCTTTTGTGCGCACACATACTTAATTTGTCCGCCAGGAAAAGAGAAAAAAAAACTTTGCTATCGTACTAAAAGCGTCTGGGAGGTACGGGAGGACGGGAAAATCCGTTTGACGAACACGAACGCGCGTGGCGAGAGACGTGACGAATCCTGTCCGCGAATAGTTCTGAAAGTGAAGGAGAGAAAAAACCTCCCTCTTCCTCTAGCCTCGTGGACGTGCACACATACGCGATGTTCGTCCTTTATTCGTGTCTCGTCATTTTAAGCGGCTCACGGAATATTCAAGCATCCTCGAGACGGAAGTAAGTTTTTTTTTTGGAAAAATATCCGTGTCCCCGCTCAGCATATTTTAGGGGTTTAAACTTGGGTTTTTAGAACGTTTATTTCTGGTTGGCTTGGTAATTACCGCAAACGTGCGAGCATGCGCGCGCGCTTGCGTACAATTTATACGCGATGTATTAATTAATTATAATAAATACACGCGCAAACATATAACGCTGCGCATGTGTACTTAACAGATGCCGTGCAAATATTGTCATTGTGCAACTGTAACGGTCAGGATTAAATGGTACGCGGCGAAAATATTTCAGTCGCGATATTCCACTCGGAAAGGGAAAGAGAGAGAGGGAGGGAGGGAGGGAGGGAGGGAGGGAGGGAGGGAGGGAGGGAGGGAGGAAGGAAGAGAGAAACGCCCGGGCTCCTCGAAGGATGCAAATGCCGCGCGATTAATTCTTAGCGACGGAAACGTTTCGAGCCGCTCGACATTCTTGTATGACAGCGGATGGTTGAGTGCGCCTACGCCGTTCGCTTATCAACCGCCCTAATCGGAACTGTTCGACTTCCTGGAGTTCCAGGCGCTGCTAGCTAATTAGGGACGACCTTCGCCGACGCCTGTACGGCCATTCATCACGCACCTATTCGCCGCTATTACCTCCTGCCGAAATTCGCGAGAAGCAGATTGGATCTTGGATTGCCGCGTTTTCGGCATTTCGGCTATCTCTGCGCGTGGACCGTCTCGGTCCTTGAGATCGTAGAGAACGTAATGACTGTTCTCCGACCGACCGACAAATACGTCCTCATCTAGAGCTTCAAAAAATTGCCCTCTTCATCATTTCCCTATCGAACCGCTCCATTTACGCACCGCCGCGCCGCGCCGCCTCGTAAGAATTAACGAGCGGAAAAATTGCGGAGAATGTAATAATGGCGACGGGAGCAACGGCAATAATAATCTCGAGCAATTGCGCACGCAATAAACATGACGAAGGCAGACGGGAGTTTCGCAGCCGCGACGTTGAAAATTTCATCTCGCGAGAAACTTCGCCGGGGCGGCGAAGTAGAAACTTATTCGACGCGCTCACTCCGCATGATATCAGGATTAATATGTGTACGTGCGCGTATGTATGTGTGTATTCCGTGAGAGAAGTAGGATCATCATTAATTATCCATGCGCGCAAAGTCAACGTTGGTCGGAGAGAGAGTCGCGCTTCGGTAATAAATCTAGGTCTCGCTAATCGCGCGATATTGCAACGTCGTCTGTGCGTCATTCGTCGCGCGTAAACTTGGCTCTAAGCTCCGGGTATTTCCGAAGTGCCAGTTCCGCCGGTCCGGTGACTGCGACAACGGAAATAATAACGGATCGGGCTTCGAACTCACCGCATCGTTGTGGTTCCAGTAAACGTAGGCGGGCGGCTCTGGACTCTGCAGGACGACGCACGTGAGATTGATGGTGCTACCTCGATTGATGTACAAGTCCGGCGCACCCAGAATCTCGGTTATGGGTTCTGAAAAGTGAACGATGTTTCACGCGTGAGCGATCTCTCGACAATCGATTTAGGCCAAGCTAGTGTGAGATGATCGCGCTCGTGCACTCGTGGAGCTCGGGAGCGAGGGAAGAGGGGAGAACATGTTGAATTATTCCGTAATAGGCCAGCTGGACGTGGCGAAATTCGCGGTGCGAGCGAAGAAAAGGCTGAAGAGGATGAGAAAAGATCTCTAGTGCGAAAGTGAGTCGAAATTATGAGCAATTAAAATAGATATCTTTGTCGATTTGCGACTTTGCTCTTTCGAGAGAAATTACTTTGAAATTCCACCGCACTGAGAGAAAAGTATATGATATTTGGGACTATAATGATACAGTAACTAAATTATAGTCCGACATATCATATTTATAGTAAGTATTACCATAATATCGGTAATAATTACGATATAGGCATAATATAACCAACTATATAATATTTTTACTAAGAATTGTAGTGAGTTAAACTAAAATTATTGTATGGATATAAATATAAAATAGTAGGTAAAGTAAGTCTTTTATATAGTCAATATTATCAGAATATTTGCTAAATGATGACAGATGTAACTATATGAATATCAAATCTCACTATATTTGTGAATGAGAAATTACCATATATGTGGTAAAAGTAACTAAACAATTATTTGAGACAATCATTGACTATATATTTGTGTTTATTCTACTATATTTTGCAATTTCGACGAACTATAAAAATATGGTTGACGCCAAAATGAACTATAAAATATAGTCAGATTATAGTTAATTCAACTATATTTTTCTATCAGTGCGAATAAGCGCACGCCTGTTTAACGGAGTCGGCTCGACAGATTTATCGACAAAGATAAATATTCCTGCTTAGATGTGTAAAAAATATTATAGCTTGACACGAATAAGAATAATGAAATAAATCTCAATAATGCATTTAAGTGCACTATCGCAAGTGCGATAAGTCAGTTAGACGGCGGGTCACTTTGCGGGGCTACGAAATCGATTTTCTCGAGAACGGAAGCTTCGTAACGGGAAAAATTTGCGTTCTACACTCTCGACTTACGTTTATACAAGACATCATTTTTCTCTCGCTTGTACTACGAATTTTACAGCGGCTCATATGCATGCGCGAACAAGTGACTTATTGTTGGCTATCTCGCCGACGGAAGGGAACAGTTAGGCTTCGTGATATGTTGTACGGTATAATTAAATATTACATTACGTCAGAGTGAAAGGGTGAAATTTTTCCTACTGCCCGCTCTCACACGTCGTTTCTTCTCTCTCTCTCTCTCTCTCTCTCTCTCTGTCCTCTCTCTCTTTCTCTCCGGTTCTCCTTTCGCGAGTAGCAAACGAGTGGAGCGACACAGCTCTCGTATGGATTAAATTCAAGAATCCGAGCGTAGAATTACATCCGTTTTCGGAATTTCTATTTCATGCAAATGCCCGGCGATTAACAACACCAGGACGCTTGCCAGAGATACCTATTTTTCTTTCAGAGTCACTATTTTTTAACGTGCTCATCGAATCGCTTTCTCTACAAGTGTGTCGCGAGACAAAGTCGCGCGTTTCTCTTCTCGCCGCGTCCGTATTAAACTTTGGAATCCGGATACACGAGATCGTTCCATGACTTTATATGCGCTTTATGTAAATAACGAATATTTGTCACGTCGCGCTTCGGGGCGACAGTTTGCTACACCGACGTAGGAAAGCTCAGTCTCTCCCTTCTTCTTCTTCTCTCTCTCTCTCTCTCTCTCTCTCTTCCTTTTTCTCCGGATTAAATCTAAAGATTTAAAGATGAGATTCCGTCGCGATTCTCCCAGAATTTTACGTTTCTTTCATGTAAATGCCTCCCACCGCGATATCTTGGCGCGTCTCGTTTTTGTGATTCCTCAGCCACGCGTTTCGGCTTATAAAAAGTACAATGGCACTGACAGAGCCGAGGGGTTGGGTTGCGCCTCTTAACATTATAATACTGAATCTTATTATTTCGTATCGCAGCGGAGGATCTACGTGTTTGTGCGAGACGAAAAGGCAACATTCATTACCGTCGGCGCGTTAAGGAAACACACAACAAAGTTAATCCTCTCTATATTTTTTATCTCGATTATATATTCCGCGGGGAAGGATTCGCCCTGTCAGTGCCGCGAACGCGGCGCGTCGATGGCGGAATTTATTTTCGGATACCTCTCGCGTGTTTTATCGGGAGGAACATCGACTTCGTTATAACTGCAAGCCTGAGCTCACGATTGTTTATTATTATTAGCTAGTAACATTATTATTAGCTCACGCAGCTGGAGCAAAAACGAAAGTTTTCGAGCAATTTCATCGAACAACACCTGTCGCTCGTACGGATATTTTTTCAACGTTTATTTTTCAATAACACGCGTTAGATAGGAGAGCAATACACTCGTCTCTGCGCACATCCGCGCGGAAGTGCGCATATTCGCGCGACACAGCAAGCCCGGCGAGCGTCCCTTTCGCGTCGTGGCTACATTCGAAAATTGGGACAGCAAGATTGCGCGTTCACGGCCGACGACATCTTATCCTCGGCCAGGAAAATCGACACGACACGGGTTGTTATCGCCGACTGAATCGGGACTTCGCGAGAATTATGCAGCATTACACCGGCGACCCCTAGCCGAGGAATTTTCCCTGGGAGTCTCTCCTTCATCGCTCGCCCTTTCATACCGCCTGATAATAGTCTGCCGCGGAGGGTGAATTGGGCGCGCGCGCGCGCGCACGTCAGGAATTTATTTATAATGCCGAAAACCGCCGATCACGTCGACGTGACGCTATTTATAGCCGTCGATCGGTCGGTTGGTCGAATGAACGGACGGACGAACGGACCGACGGACGGACGGACCGTCCGTCCGTTTTGCGTCCTTTTGTGCTGCCGAAGAGTGATGCGGTTGACCTGGCCTCTGTGCGCACCTCGAAAGAGCACTTTGAGGCGCTTCATACAGAGAGTATCCGGTATCTGTTACCGGTGGCGAGCCCCTGTTCTGCTGCGCGCATATTCGTATATGTGTGTGTGTGTGTGTGTGTGATGTATGTGAGAGAAAGATAGAAGAGAGAGAGAGAGAGGGAGGGAAGGAGAGAGGTCAGCCGGTAGATCGATGTGAATATTTTCCGGACGGCCTCCTCCTCGAGGATTGACCGAAATAACCGGGCAGCGTGCTTTACGGCTTTTGTGCAACGGATGATACCGGGGACGACGGTTAACCCCCCGGTGGTTAACAGCACACCGACCCTTCTTCCTAACCACCCATTCCTCTCTTCCTACCTTCCCGCCCTCCGTCACCGCCGTCACCCACGTCTGCGCTCCCTCTTTTCCCCGATCCCGCCACTGCGGAGCTTTTTCTTCCGGGTCTCTCGCCGAATCCGGATTTAGATTTTAAAAGCTTCCGACGTTCTTTTTTCTCTCTCTGCCTCTCTCTCTCTCTCTCTCTCTCTCTCTCTCTCTCTCTCTCTCTCTCTCTCTCTCCTTGCTTCTCGGTCTACCACCCTTCGTTATATTTCACGCCCTTGTCGACCGCCTTCTACCTCACCGCGATTCTCTTGTTCTCTCTCCGTTCGCTAAGCTTGCTCCGTTTCTGACACGTAGCTCGCTTCCTTCCATCTCGGTGTACCTCAAAATTCTTAACCCTTAAGTATCCGCGTGCACGGGTCTCAGGCTCGCTTGAGATCCGCGAAGAGATCCTGCTTTCTTCTTCTGTATTTCTCTTCTGTATTTCGTAAAGAAGAGCGCTGGCGAGCGGCTAGTTTTGCGCGTGTGCGATGTCATTAAATTCCAGAGTTTTAAGGATTTAACATCACGTCTGCCTGTGGTGGTCGATATCGCCAACGTACAACCCTGTTTCCGCGCCAGTAATTAAGGATGAAAGGCACCCGGTGCTCCAACCTTGTGTTGCTTCACTTACTATCCCGAGTGATTTAATCATATGTATCCGCAGCCTTAATTACATATCCATCTTAATTTCATCTCAATTCCATATAATCTTTGTTTAAAGTTTAATTATACATCCATCTTAATTCCATCTTAATTCCACGTAATCTTTGTTTAATGTCTAATTGTAGAGATACTTTGCGCAACCCGAATCGATTCTTCTATCTCCAATTAATCTTATCATTGTTATTGTCTTTCTGTTTCAGTGCGTAACCCTCCCCCCCCACCCCTCCCGTCTCCCATCCGTCAGACATCCTGCAGACTTCACACAGTCTCGTCCCCAAGTAAGTAGATTAGTTCATCCGTCCATATATTCGCCCAGTCTTCCGTCCGTTCTATCTTTTTTACTTCTTTGTCGACGACATCGCGTCCATCGAGGCGCAGAGCGTACAGCGCCGCCTATGGCTCGATCGATACCACGAATATACGCGAAACGCTTTAACGTCGGTTAACCGCGGGCGAAAGCCGACCTCGTCAGGCAGGTCGTGCCTTCGAGTCGAAATCAAACCTTGCGAGGTCTTTCGCCGCTGAGTTGCCGGAACTTTCAATTCGCTCGGATACTCGTACATATATGATCCCGGGCTGCACGTTTTGTATAAACGCTCGCCGGAATTAATGACGCCGGAATCGCGAGCGCCGCCATTCCTCTAACCAGCCGTGATGATCATCGCTCGTATTCCCTCGGAGTAGTTTGACGAGAGTATCGGCGAGAACTCGACGCGCATCGTTTCAAAGCGTTTCGAGCTTTCTCTCTCTCTCTCTCTCTCTCTCTCTCTCCCCCTCCCTCTCTCTCTCTCTCTCTCTCTTTCTCTCTCTCTCTCTCCCTCTCTCTCTCTCTCTCTCTCTCTCTCTGCCCTCCTTCCCCTCTCCCTCTCCCTCTATCTGGGCTCTAGAGAGCGCTCTCTCACGTTCGTGCACGTTCACGGCTCGTGCGAATCGCCGTATTCATGTCCACGATTAATCGCGATGCGGAGGTCTCTCGATATCACGGATGATCGGAGAATGCTGGCGACTGAACGGTCAAGTGTTATGCGCGACTTGTCCAGTTGAAA